TGGAGAAGAGAAGGCTCAGAGGGGATATGATTAATGTGTATAAGTTCAGGAAGGGAGAATGTGGGGAGGAAGAGGACAGGCTGTTCTCACTGGTGGCCAGCGACAGGACGAGGGGTAATGGCCACAAGCTGAAGCATAAGAAGTTCCGTCTCCAGGTGAGGAGGAACTTCTTTACTGTTAGGGTGACAGAGCAGTGGAACAGGCTGCCCAGGAGGTTGTGGAGTCTCCCACTCTGGAGGTCTTCAAAACCCRCCTGGATGCTGCCCTGTGCCCCGTGCTCTAGGTGTGCCTGCTTGAGCAGGAAGTTTGGACTAGATGATCTCTAGAGGTCCCTTCCAACCTTRAATATTCTGTGATTCTGTCATTCTGTGTTTTATCTGAAAGTGGAAAGTGAAAGATGAGAAGSTATCCAAAGTTTTACAAGATGGAGYGTAGCCTTCAAGGCAGAAGTTTGTTCTCCAGACTGCTCAAACTGAACACCCTGGTTCTGGGCAGGGCAGGAATGTGGTGGGAGGGACATTAAGCCTGCAGCAAAAGAAGAAGAGAGGTTTCTACAACATCATATGTCTATCTTTACCTCAAAAACTTTGCTACTSGAGTCCTTTCCTATTCTGGATTATTGCTGCTATTGCTGGTTCTCATGGAGAGAAAGTCCTGTACTGTCAGAAAAGGATCAAAGAAGAAAAACTTCAGGATGAGGGGATGGAGATAAACCTGAGCGCATCATTATCATTATCATTAAACTATACATACATAAACTATATATGCAATTTTGTCCAGGTGTTTTCTTGAAGCCAGGAGAGAAAATCTGGCACTTTAAGAGCAAAAACAGTAATCAAGCATTGGAACAGGCTGCCCAGGGAAGTGGTGGAGTCCCAATCCCTGGCAGTTTTCAAGAAATGAGCAGATGAGGCACTTAGGGACATAGCTTAACAGTCATGGTGYTGAAGGTCTACATTTGTACTCAAAGATCTTGAAAGTCTATTCCACATGTAATGATTCTATGATTCCTTAAGGCTCCTCCTCGAATTATCTGGGCTTCAAACATCAAAATTTCAGATAGACATGGTCGCTTTGCAGACAGTAGACATTTTATGGAAAACTTTATAGCTCTCTAATTCTATAATCCTCACTCAACATGACCTGGCCATCCCTCACTCAAGTGGTGATCCATGACTCCATGGGCAATCGATGGTTTCGGCTGTCCAAATCCTTCTCCATGGAGAAATAGGGTGCATATGGGAAGGCAAGGCAGATTTGAGTCTCCCTTCCCATAGCAACTTCAGCAGAATYGTTGCACCAGCATCCACATGAAACCAAGATCACTGCATGGAGGGAATTCAAGACACCGAGCCTCAAAGCCAAAAGGAAATCTCACTAGCTTACTAGTAATAAGGCAGCAAACATTTACCCAGGCTTCTTAAGAAGAGGAAGATCAATAAGGCTGGGAATATAGTGTGCGCAGAACAACAAATGTCCCACGGCACAGCTGCTCTTTGCGAAGCTGAGGACCATGAGGCTGAAGGCTGCCAGTTACCAGAAGGGGAGTTGGTCTGCAAGGCAGGTAAATAGTGTGAGTAAAGACTCGTTACAAAAACAAAGCAAAAGAAAACAAACACTTTTTCGTTTGGCTCTTCCTCCTCCATTTCCTTTAAACTGTGTTTCAGTTCAACACAGGACTTTCAAGACAGGTGAACTAGCCACTCATGACAGGAAATCAAGGATTGTATTTCAGCTTCACATAGATAATTCTGCCACTGAGGTGAACATGATAAGAACTGTAAAACTCTAGAATTCATCAGTGGCCTTTTAGTTCATTATATAATTTGTTAGTAACTTAGTAACTTATAACAACACTTTGCCTTTTTTAAATCAGTGGAAATGCAGCTTGGGGGTAGAATATACAGTGTGCAAATTATTTGTAGATCTCCCTAACAAATTGTTTCCTAAGACCACAGGAAAAAAAAAGTATCTGAGAGCCTAATGCACGTAAATTTTGTTTTTCTATATAAAGTAAGGGATTAAGTACCCTACTATGAAATACATTTACTAGTGGGGAGAGAGATGAAGAAAAAAAGAAAGTGAATGYATGTAGAGATATGAGATGAGAGAACTTTTCACTTGTGTATCATCCTGTACATTCACTTGTTGGAACTTGGAACTTGTTCTAGTTCCAGTAAAATCAAAAAGTTAAACCGGAAACACACTCTGATTAAAAGCCCTCAGGAACAGAACTCAGACATCTTTCCTATGGGCTTTAAGAAACTATTTTCATGAGGTAAGTTTCAGGAAAGACCCAAAAGTATTATTTTAAATTTTCAGKGGAGAAAGAGAAAATACCATCCTCTCCTTCAGCTTACTTCTATTTGACTATGTGACTATTTGAATTCCAAAAGGTCACCAGATACGGAAGCACACAGTGCCCCAAATAATGCAGAGATTTGGTTGGTATTCCACGGATCAGCCTGTCTCCATCTATTTTCACCTTTTAGGGCAGCCTGCACAATTTCCTCGTTTCTGTGTTTGGGTTCAGGAGGAGTCAGTAGACCATGGCATCATGCCCATGGTCTGTGATGGATGTTGGGTTGATGGGATACTCAAGGTACTTTAAGGATATGCCAGAGATGCATGAGCAGTGGAGAACCACTCCATCCTCGTTGCATATGTCCAAAATTTCCTGTATGAAACCAGGGAGGAAAGAGAGATGTGRTGGAAAAGGGTGCCTTGCTCATTCGCAGAGCTGCTAGCTAAGTCGTGCAGACGTTTCTACAGCACTAAAACAAGAAGCAGAACAAGGAACAGAAAACTCCACACACAGGTACACACTCTTAAAAAGTTTTTATTAATTTTCATTGCTTTTTTTTTTTTAAAAAAAACAAACCCGTCAGTGCAACAGTTCAGTATCCCCTTCCTATCCCCAATCAGTAAGCAGTAATTTAAAAATCAGGAAATACCGAGTGCTGAAGCCAATGGGTTAGCATTTTGCTATTTAGTTCCTTCTGACAAACTCTGAAAAAGTCCTCTGTATAAATTAAACAATGAAAAAAAATGTTATTTTCAATTCTATGTCATTACAGTCAACAGAATCATAATAATGCATCTAAAATGTGTGTCCACAATATATCAGGTTTACATTTTTGGGAAAAGAAAAAAAAAAGAAAAAAAAATATGACATTCTAGGTTTGTTAAAAGGATAATGGTCCCATATTTGTATTAACAGGTTAGCAAAACAAAATCCAATGGATTACAATATTTACATGTTATTTGAAAAATAAAGTAGTGATAAAAGCATGTCACAATCATTTCTTTTTTTTTTTTTTTTTCTTTTTTGTTTTTGGTAACCATTACAAACACCCAATCCAGGTATGGAACTGTTTAAATACATTTGAAATGAAGCCAATTAAAAAACAAATACAGACACAAAATGTGTATTTATATTTGTCCCTCCAATATGTTTTTCACATGACACTCCCTCCCTATTTCAAAAAAATCTAAAACCAAAAAATCAAAAGTAGAAAATATCCCCAAACCCACAACTGATGAATCCTTAAAAACAAAACACCATGCTTCTCAAATAGCACTTATTCCACAAATGCAACATTTTTGCCATCAATTTTACGTGAAGCTCCCTGGGACACCATTTCCTAAGCAGCTTCCTATTTTCCCCCCGCCCCCCTTGCTTCCCCAAAACAAAAAAAAACAAACAAAGACACATGCATTTCTAAAACTAGGTTTCAGTCAAGTACTTTCTACTTTTTGGAAATAAACCTTTTTTTTGTGGTTTTGTTTTTTTCCATTTTTTTTCCTTTTTTTTTTTTTTTTTCTTCTTCTTTTGTTCACAATCAGAACACACCATGGGCGTTAGATCCTGTGTTCTTTGCTTAGGCAAAAAGTCCTGTTGAGTTTGGTAGGCTTTCCACCCAAGAAAAAGCACAGAATCAGCCACTAGGTACGCAGGTTCCTATTCACTCTACGCTGCTCCCCTCATGCTAAAAGCTAAGGAGGAGGAGAAAAAAAAACTAGCAACTCCCGTCCTTAATAGAGTTAAGAGTAGTTCTCCAGGCTCAATGTCATATGTAACTATTTCACCTCCACTTGCAAAAAGATGTGTTAATGGACACCCCTCCCTCCCACCCTACCAAAAAAATGAAAGAAAGAAAAAACACACACCACAGACAGGAGAAAAAAAGGCAGCCAATCTTAATAAAAAAAATACTAGTGTGAGACTGATAGGTGTTAATATGACAAGCAACAGAATAGTTACGAGGACCTACGTGTTTGGCCCGCAAGCTGCATAGCTGTGCCATAAGTTTGGTTCTTTAGTTTTTGTTTTTTTAAAAAAAAAAGAAAGTTAAAACTTCTTTGTTATATCTGTATGTTTAAAATTAACAACAACAGCAACAACAAAAATCTATTCACAAAATCTAGTCTCCTTTCCCTGTCCCTCCCCTTGAAAACAAATATTTGTTTTACATGAGAAACTTAATTGTGCTGTATTTGTAACACCTTAGGCTGATAGAAAGGAAACATRTGGCAAACAAAACGGCACAATCAGTCACATGAAATCTACCAAATTCTAAAATCATAGTTGAATACTAACAAACAGCTTACCTGGAATAAAGGATGACAATTCACAAACAGTTATCTAGGAATTAAAGTCTCTCTCTCTTTTTTTTTTTTTTTTTTTACTAAAATAATTAAAAAAATCACAGTATTTTAAGAAATAAAACCCACACTGGGATTTTAAGCACAATTTGTTTTCCTTTAAAACTCTTCTTCCTCCTTTCACCACCTTGCCCAGCAGTCTCTCTACATTTAACCACAACGACAACAGGTAGTACTGACAAATGCAGAGATCTCCCTTGGTTAATTTTGAGGTACTAGGAAACAGGTGACTGTTTTAAGCAAAGCAGTTTCTGGTTTTTATTTTTTCGTTTTGTTTTTTTTTTTTTGTATTTTTTTCTTAGTTTGTTTTTTTTTCTTTTTTTTTTTTTCTTTTCTAAAGCAGTTGCATTCAGTCTGGAAAAGCGTTATGTATTAAAACTAGAAAAACGCACCCAAATTTGTGCGTTGCAAAGTTATCCCCGGCCCTCCCCATCCCCTGCTTCCATGCTCACGACGCTTCCATTCACCAACAATCTGGGTCTCCACTGCAAAGCACGTTGTGTAATGTAGGAACATGGGGAGTTGTTTCATTAGTCCAAGATGAACATAACTTCCCATTGTCAAGATCCAGAGGAAAGGATGCAGTGATGTAATGGAGCCACTTATACCATCATTTAAATAACTTTAATATACACACACTCACACAGGTACCAGTGCTTTGAAAATAGATCATTCAGTCCTAAAAGCAGCTTTGTTTCTTCCTTCCACCCACCCTGCCCACCCACCCTATCCCCTTCATCACTGTTCAAGTAAGTTGATTAAAATCACACCAAATGCTTATTCGTTTTTGGCCTCTGAGTTCCCTTGGAGAGGTTTGTCAGCAGCTACCACGCAGGCTGCTGCTTCGCTGCTGTGGGAAAAGTCCACCATCATCTTCTCGATGCTCTCCTTATCTTCTACCGGCAGCACGTTGACCGCCTCCTCCACGTCCTCCTTGGGCTGGATGTCCTCGCAGCCCCTGCGCTTGCATTCGTTGAGCGCCCTGCCAAGAAACGACRCAGGAAAGAGAAAATATTATAGCTCAGGTAAAGCTAAAGACACAGGCACGTGACACRGGGTAGGGGTGCAGCTCTCTCTGAAACCCAACAGCCACACTGCGGACATCTCGGGTTCAATAGGACTGGTGGTGGAATGAAGGTGGTAGTGGGACCTGGGCATTTTAGCTTTGAAACCAGATCTTTATTCGTTTGAGGCTTGGGCAGAAAGAGATGAGAGAGAAAAACCTCAATCCTCTCCTTTTCTCTTGTGAACAAGACTCATTAGGTACCCAACAAAGGCACAGGAAAAGAGAGTACTTTTCTCAAAGACTTAATGATCCAATAAAGTGTTTTACAGCATGCTACTTTTCAAGTACTCAGACAAGATAAAGGGTAAGAGAAGTAGTATTTCTCACCCTTCCACAGTCAAGCTGCAATATTGTATTCAAATGTTTTCCACACGTCCGTAATCTTGAGTGAGATCTACTCTTTGAAGAAATTATGGTCAGCAAAGACATCTCTTCTACTGACCAGATCATCATCCAGAGAAGGAAGATGAATGTTCCAGAGATGTCTATCTGTGTCATCCCACAGTATACAGACTGTTATTTATACACAGTAAAGGCAAAGATCTTTGCTATTAACTTCACTGTGGACATTTTAGCGAGAGATCATTCAGATTGATTTTACTTCCCTTGAAGGTCTTGACATTTCTCCACACATAATTCTTTACACTGCTCTGCAAGTTTAGCTGCAAGCATGATAAGATATCGTAAAAATAAAGACAAAAACCCTTAACACAGGAACACTCCTTTTGCTTTCCATCATTTTTCATGCTGCTCCACTGGCAAGCAAAATCAACAGCAGACTTGACTAGCCAAAGTGGTATTCATCCTGAAACAAAGCTTAGGTTTCAKGATCACAGCTAAACCCTGTTTTGTCCATTGTAAGATGTTTCTTTCTCTTTGAGATCTGATTCAGAATTGAAATGTACACGTAATGTGGAGAGAACCACAAGAATTTTGAAGTCATCAGAGCTGCTAGGTTAAACAGAATGGACAAGAACCTCTCTCTACTCAAGGACACCTAATAACAGTCATCCCTACTTGTCGTACACCTGTATTGGCCTTCACCACAGGGCTTTCCCTGGGAGGAGAGAAATAGCTGGTGGAATCACAGAATGGTCGAGGTTGGAAGGGACATGTAGAGATTATCTAGTCCAACCTTGCTGCTCAAGCAGGGAACATTCAGAAGACGTGTCGTTCCTTTTGGCAGTTCAGCTAAGGAGTCTCAACCAACTTACATGCCGTGTCTCAGCACGTGTCGCTCCCACTCGGAGCCCTCCGTGAACGACCGGCCGCAGAACTCACACGGGAAGCGCTTCTCCAGAGGGCCGCTGCCAGGAAACATCATGGGATCTGCAAAAGGACACACACCTGCTGTGAGCACGACAGTACCAGCACAGGGAGGGAGCCTTTTCTTGCCCCTTTTTGTCAAAGACAAAAAAAAATATCCTTGAGAATCAAAAGCAGATCCTCATCAACTCATTCACTAGAGGTGTTAGCAGAGATGTAGACCCCTCCTCCACAAAGCCAAGTGACACTGCTGGTCACAAGTCCCATCCTAACTCCCAAGACATCTCCACAAAAAAGGTGTTCAGAGTTACTACTTGCTGTCCTTGTATTTGAACAAAGAAAGAAACTGTGGAGCTTTAATTCAAACCCACCTCTGAGAGACRTTTAGTGTTGAAATAGCCTCAACGCAACCCACAAAATCCCACTTGAGTCTGCCTTTAATTTTTAAAATTGGTAGAGCAAATTTAAGGAAAGAGAGAGATTTGGTATACTGAACATATAATCCTCATACAAAGGAGACATCCCCTCATCATGAAGTCTCATGAGCTGGAGAATATCTCTGGCAGTCCTGTAACTGCATAGGTGTTTCAGCCCATCCTCATCTTTTATACAGGATGCTTGAGGCCTCATTTGCAGAAGTGTCAAGCACCTAAGTAATAGAAGTGAAGTCCCTGGCAGCTGAGGGAGCAGTATTTATGAAAGCCAAACCCCATGTGAACAGAGTCAGCTTTAACAAAAGATGAAACATTTTCTTACAAATTAAGAAGATCACCGCACAAGCCATTAAAAATAATTGCATGGACTATCTCACTTGATTCTTTTTGCTGGAAATGAGACAGCACCATCTGCTCAGAGCATTAATTCCTTAGCAGGGATTATCTTAAGCAAGAAATCAACAGAATGTCCTTCTGACTCCTCCCAAACTACATAATAAAAGAGATTTTGCTTCATTTCAGTTCTGGTCTCTGCTCACTTGGTTTCTTCACTCTTAATTTTATTTTGTTCAGGATCAGCCTATGAAATTAAAACTGCGCACAYACATTATCACTGTAAGTTTCATAAAGGTATTTTGCAACACATTTGCCACTAATTAGCCTTCAATAAAGTTCAAATGCTTTATACCATTTTTTTCTCTTCCCTCTTAAAAAAAAAGTTCAATATTTCTTAGTTCTAGTGAATTATAATGGAGTTAAACATCACAAAGTAAGGTAGTGTACCTATAAGAACAGCAGAAAGTAAGTCAATGATCCTACTTCGTTTACACCCAGAGTTTAATACCATATGCCCACTACAAATTTTAAACTACCACCACAATACTAGTCATGGTAGAGGGGCAAACACCTACAGAGGACACAAGTTGTGCAGACAACATTTGCTTGTCTGTGTGGGAACACACCTACCCCATAGCACACAATAGGAAATTTATTCCGGGCCTACACAGGGGAGAGACATTGCACAATGGGGCTGCTTTGCTCAAGTGGATAGGGTGGCTTCCTGCAGCTCCCATTAACATCCACCATCCCTTCACAAGACTTGAAGGGATGTTTCTTGAGCAGCTTTGTTTCCAGGTCTGTGAATACGGATGGCTCTCCTGGAAGTGCATCAGGACCTGCTCCTCCCTGCACAGACACCTGATCTCTCTGTGTACTTTCCTGCATCACATGCACAATCCTTTATTTTTGCCCACTGCAGAAAAATAACCCTCAATTCAGGTTTCTGGTAAGAACAAGATACAAAGGTCAGCACAGGAGGCCTGTCTGGGACACATTCCTTAGCAAGGGCAGCTGTTCTCTTCATGGAGCATGCCGGGCACCCTCTTTTTTATCCCCCTTCCTCCTCCTCCTCCTCCTCCTCCTCCTGTGTCCGTATGCTTTCTGCTCTCCTTTATTAGGTGCCTCCTCTGCCCTTCTACCAGCTCAGCCCCGCTCAGGAGACGTGCCCATAGGATGAGCTTTGCTGGGTATCCTGAGAGCCCCTTTGGAGAAGCGACACAGTCATCTCTGTGCCCTCGGGGCTGTGAACACCCGCCCGGAGTCTCATGTGGTGAATCTAGGGGTCTGACCCCCAGGAGGAAAACCAGGCTGAAGCCACAGACTTGGGGGGCTCTGTCTGCGCTCGCATCCAGGTGCACGGTGCTCCGAGCAAATCCGGCTTCCCACTAAGACCACGAAGGCTCCAATTGACACAGGCGCCCAAGTGGTGCTGGGATTAGGTGGTTTGATGTGGTGTGAAGGCCATGACAGCTCTAGGCGCTGTGACAGGCCGTGTTTAACAGCACGGTGTGGTGCGGTTCCTTGGCTTTGGAAAACATCCACTGGGAGAAGATGTTGTCAACAGAGGGCTTTGCATCCAGCCATGCATTCAGCTCTCTGCATTACTGGGATATTGCTACATTTTCATAATAAAGGTCAAGAAAACAAGCATTAAAACATAAATTATTTCCCAAATAACTCACTTTCTTTCTTATTTAAATAAAAGTTGTCACCAGGTGCACATGAAGTGCTAGTGACAAGCACTGGCAGAATTTTATGTTGCAGTGACACTAAGCAAACATCAAGGCACYGGATGCTGAGGAAGGTAATGGCATCACCTAATCCCCTCCTGCTTTGTAAGCTACCTCTGAATCTAGAAATCTAGATTTCCCAAAGTGTGAAGAGCTTCAGGAAGACACATTTTATTTTGCAGACAACTCTTGGTTGAGTTTGAAATGACTCCATTGCAAATGGAAGCTTTAGGAGGAAAAATGGAAACAAGTCCTCAGTTAAGCCCATAGAAACTTGGAGAACTGCAGTTCTGAGCAGCAGGAGGGTGGGTGATCACTCCAGCCTTGAGATGGGGCCTCACAAGGCTCAAGAGCAGTGAACATACTGTGCTTGCTGGACTGATGCACCAAGGCAGGTTGTGACAATATGCACTTGAGACCAGAGACTTGCAGTGAGTTGTTTTTAATACGGGAACATGGTTTTATTCAGAGAACTTTTCCTTTTGCCCCTCCGCTCAGCCAGCTTTGACTGGGCCCTATTAGCAAGCTTGTGGCCGAGCCTTGCTGTACTCAGGGGGATTAGTCATAGTCATAAACTTAGGCACATACTTAAGAACACAACTGAGGAGTGATCYGAAGGTGGGGCATGGATCTACTGCGGCCCTGGAGCTGCCAACTGCAAAGACAGGACTGACTCCCTCTGAGAGGGAAGGAATGCTGAGCACATAGTTAAGAGTAACAGTCCAAAAATAAGTTTGGCCACGACCCTTCATCCTTGCTTGAACAGTGCCAAGTTAAGGAGCTGAAAGTGGGTTACCAACACAGAAAATCTGACAGACCATTGAAATACTGCACTTACGTAGTTTCCAAGCCCTGATAGATATTATCAGTATGGACAGATAAGTCACAGATGCTATCTGCATTTTCTCATAGTATGTATTTTCTTAACAGACAGAAAACTTGTAGTAAGGATTAGAAACACGAGATTCCCCCAGGAACAGTGTCCTGACAAAAGCCCCATTCTGCTCCTGCTGGCATGCTGCATGACTCTACAGGAATGTGCTGCAGAGTCAACAGCTGACCTTGCTTGGTGGGACTGGTGGGGCATGTTGCAATCCATTAAAAAAAATTAAAAAATAAAATGAAAGGACTGACCTCTCTCTTCAGCCTTGGGGCTCAACTCCTCGTCTTTTTCTTCCTCGTCACTGCTGGAGCTTTCTGTTTTCCCCTTCATCTGCTCCAACTGATCCAAGTTCACCCGTCCAACCAGCTCAAAATTACGGCTCACCTTTGAAAGGAGCATTTTGGTCAGCAATTAGCACCATCAAGAACTGTGCAGAAAAATTACCTTATATGCAAATCGAAATCCAATATGTCCCCAAATCCTCTTCTACAGCTACAGGTGACATGCAGGCAGCCAGTCAAATTAGCACTTCTTTTCAATGATAACGATCTTTCTTTCTCTTTTTATACTGCATTTATCAATCCTGCATTTCAAAACTGAAAGCCATTCAATAACTACTCCAATTCCTTCCTCTTTTTGAGGAATTAGAACTAAAACAGTCCAAGAAAACCACCCCACGCAGCATTAAGCCACTGTGATCAAACATTGCTATTGCACACCATCACTTAAGGAAAATCCTTGTGGATGGTTCACGCATGAAAGGATAGGTCCTCCACTAAGCACACAGCTGCTGTGTGCTACATACACTTTCACTCATTAATAACAGATTAATTTKCATTATGAAGGACTGCAAAGTGCTTTGCAAACCGATATACAGGCTATAATGGGGACACTTCACCCAGCAGTCAGACTCGGCTAACCCTCGGGTGAAATACACCAGCTTTTTACAGCCCACAGCAGCAGTATGAGATCTGGGAAGGTCAGGAACACCGCTCTGCCCAGCAGGAAGAGCAGAGCAGCAGCCCAGATTTACTGTAGAGGTGGAGAGTCTGGAGCATGACCAGGACATTAGGGCTGATACTCGCTGGACGACAAGCACTCTCTAAGCTCATTGATCACTGCTGGGCAGGATTTGGGATTTATCTTTCAGGAGGAAACAACGCCAGTCCTCCAGCAGCACAGGCACCGAGCCACAGAAGCAGAGAGGATGGAGAGGGAGGGACGAGTGCAGCACTGCAACTCCTGCAAGATGCTGAGCAAAATGTCAGCRCCACCAATTAGGTTTTATCCCTCCGCAGGAGATGGAAGGGGAATGTGTCTAAGGAGTGTGCGGCTCTTCCCAGGCTAATGTACCTGAAGCCAAAGAATGGGAAATGTTGCATCCTTGATAACCGAGGGCCCTTGCCATGGTGACTGGGAGACGTGGAACATCTTGGGCACTATGAGAAGTGCAGAAAGATCCTCAAGGAGTAATGAAGAGGGCAGATGGACAAAAGGGGCCAATGTAAGCTCACAGAGCTCATTTTTTAAATGCAGTGAAATAGTTTTTAAGTGTGAAAAGTTTCGATGGGTCTTTTGATGCTAATTTTATCAATATACATTTGTTTGTAGGAAATTGTCATTCAGTCAATGAATTTGAGTTTCTAGAGAGGAATGAAGCAGTTCAGCTCCAGTATCTGAAGACAAATAGCTGCCTCCCTAGGAACTGCAGTAAGAAAGTATTCTGATAAATACTACAAAAATGTATCTCGGTTCTAGAACTTATAATATRTTTCTCACATAACAACACAGCTACAATAATTCAGAGTTAACAGCTGTCTGTGGAAAGCCTCTCAAGGAGTTCCCCAAGACTGGTTCAGGTCTGTACTCAGGGACTCCACACAAACACCAAAGCAGCCTTAACTTTGGACCTGGTTATACTTGCTGTTTATCTTTCCCTTGTTAATGTAAGCAGGGATGTATTGCCCTCTTTGTTATTAAAATATGCATGGCATGTCACGTTGCTGAAGTTGCCAGAGTCCTCTGGCTTTTAGAAAGGCTAAATCACACAGCCTTAATATTGTTCCTCAGCTTCTTTTTTTTTGCCTTTTCTTTAAATAAACTTAGCATATGCAAGCGTCTTTTCCAGATAACCATACTTTGCAGCCAGTTCTGGTCACTCTGAACAGCTTTAGAAATACTCAGTCTTTTTTGGAAGAAGAAAAAAGAAGAATATACTCTCTACAGAAAGTGAAATCCAGCATCRGAGCGAGTAGATTCCGAGTTTTACGGAATCCAAGTTTTATGGGGAAAAAAAAAAAAAGCAATCAGAATTCAAACAGATGTAAACTAAGTATAGCAATTGCAAGGAGTAGACTGTTACAGATTAAAGCCAATAGGATGTTACCTTGTGCTCATCCCGCAGGTGAGCATCCAGCTCCTCGGTGTGTTTGGTCTCGTAGTAGCAGAGTTGGCATTTGTAAGGTTTCAGTTCATTGTGCTTCTCTATGTGCTGCTGCAAGCTCTCGTCGCTGGAGCAGGTAAAGGTACACTTATCACAGCGGAAAACGACTCCCTGCAAGTACTTGGACAGTTTGGAGCGACAGACTTCGATGGGAACAACCCGCTCTTCTGTGGGGAGAGGATAACATTTGCTTAGAAAATTTTACAGAATGTCAGGTAATGTGTCAACCACCAGCCTGGGAAGCACCACCCACACAAGAGATAGGACCTGCCATATGGTTATTCGCAATTGGGCTGAAACYAACTCCTCCTTGTCCTGCAAGGACAGAGTTAATCCTTCAAGGCTACCAGTGCAGGTGTCCTCACTAATGCAAGTGCGCACTGGGTGAAGGGAATGGAGGTTCTGGGGGCAAACAAGACTAGATTCCAACCGTGAGTCAGAGTAGCAGGGCCTGGGAACACMAAAACAGCTATAAATCAGACAGATCAGCAGTCTACTCTGGTTCAGGACTCGATGGCAGCTAGCAACGGCTGATAGAAACGTAATAAACTTGGAATCTACAGGGCGATTCCCAGTGCATCGTCCTCCCAGCTTTCTAAAAGCCATGGTTGGCATCCCAGCCACTCCCTCGGAAGCTCCTCAGTGGGGTTRGAGCTGGCAGAAACTCCCAATCCACCCTCTGCTTTTAAGCAGCTCTGGTTCAAAACCTCCACACGTCACTTCAGATTATGGCTACAAGCACGTACTGAAAAAGCTCTTGCTAACTATTTTAGGCCCCCCCACCTCTCCCACAAAACACAGATATTTAGGAAAGCGGCAATTAATTTCCATGTTGCCAGTGAAATTGCCAGAATCCTGACACATTTAGCACTTGTCAGCTGTGGTTGCCCAAGCTGCAGGCACAAGTGAACCCCCAGATTCAACCTTCCAGGACAGGGTCACCAGGAGGCCCCTCACTACGGGCTTCTGCTCCTCGGATGGCCTCTTGAACTGGAAGACTGGAATTTAGTCCTGTTATTCCCTACAGATCGCAGACTAAAGGAGGAGTTTGATCTTACTCACACAGGTCATCACTAACGAAAAAAAAAAAAACCCAAAACAGGCCTGAGTCTCAGGTCGCAGACATGAAGTGAAGGAGGCCTCGCAAGGCAGGGATCTGAGACAGTGGTTCCCTTACCTCATCAAGGACAACAACATCCAAAGAGCTACGGGAATGCAGATTCCCCTTTGGTTTCTCTAAGGTGGTGAAAGCTCTAACGAATCATTCACCTCTGCCCAATCCATGTCTCGCCACTGCCCTAGAGATTTTCTCACCGCCCATCTAAATATCCCATCCTCTTCAGCTTCTCCATGAACACAAAAGTTACCTTATTCCACAACTTCCTCTCTGTCAGCTTCAAAATGGATTTTTTCCCCAAAGCTCTGACAAAAATGTAGCTCTGAGTACCTGAGGTTCTTTTCTACACCAGCAACAGATTCTGTAGCTTTTAAAATGCCAAGTTGTGGCCATTTGGGGTGGGGGTGGGTGGAGAAATAGGGTCTAAGAGATAACAGAATGTAAAGCTGTGATTCTAAGGTCAGAAGAAGGCTTTTTTAGATGCTTTTTACAGCTGTGTGCCTTTGGACTCACGGATGTAGGCAACTTGTTCTTAAAAAGTGGGAAAAAAAAAGCCAAATGAAGATTTCCAAAAGAGAATTAATCTAAATATTTGAAAATTCTTTTTATTTTCCCCTCTGCAATCTATGCAAATGGCATAGATTAAGAGAAAAAAAAAACAAAAAAAAAAACACTAAACATGGGACAAGGTTTTATCTGTCACTCTAGAGTGAAATACCATTTTCTAATTTCTATCTACAAAACCTGTTATTTCACAGATAACCAACCAATGAGCTCTCCCAAAAATGAGAGGCAGCATAATAACAAGAAAAAGATATGGTAAACATAAACAGGATTTCACTTTTACGAGGTAATTAATGTTTTAGAACAACTTTTACATACATGTGTGTGCTGCTGTGAGCTTCCTCCGGACAACGATTTGGAACCTGCAGGCTGATCTGGATCCAGAAACTCACATTGTGCAGGGTGATGCTCTAACCTCTGACCATTCTACCAGCCACCATTTGCACCCACAAAGCTCTCTAAATTTAGCTGTTCACTTAGAACTCACCATATCCGGGCAAATGACAAAATTTCAGTGAACCCTTTAAGTTCTCTGCACTAACTGGAAGCTTTAGCTTCCTTCTCCATGTGCAAACTTCAAAGTTCAGCAGTATCTAAACAAAAGACTACTGTATGTGCCTTGTAAAAAGGATGGATTTTATTGTGCAGCAATGTAGCAAGAGGTGTTAAGACAAAGGAAGAAAAAGCCACAAATAAACAAAAAAGCTCACCTAAAAGGCATTACCTCTGTTTAAGACATCCAAAACTTAGTTAGAATTGAAATTTTCAAGCTTAKTCTAATATAGACCAGAGCAAAGGAAAAGCTACTAATACACTAGGTATTTGCTGTACAGTAATTTAAAGAAGACAAATACACTTTCCTTGTGGCACAAAAAAGCCCATGACTCTACTAGTCCTTCATTATAAGGAACAATCTTTAACCAGCAACACACCACAGCAGACATAAGTACCTTCCTTTCCTTAAATGAAAACCGAAAACAAACTTAACTGTCCTGCTATCCAAGTTAAGACCAGTTATTCAGTAATACATGTTGTCTGCACGCGTGCATTTTTTGCCTGTAATCAATGTGCATCCAGGCTACAGGCACAGTTCTCAAGTGTTTGTGCTCCAGGACTAAAAGCAAGCAAAGCAGAGGGGTTCATGTACCAAGCTGTGTGTAGAAAGGGTAATGCCAGAAATACCCACCTGCAGGGAACCAGTATACAAGAGAGATYTGGAAGATCTCAGGATGTGGGCTAAGCAGAATATGTGACCCTTCTACATGGAAGTTACTACACCAAAGAAATGGGTGCTACCTCTGTGAAGTGGAAGATCAGAGTTTCTATTTGCACCAAGAAGGGAGTAAAACAGTAGAAGAAAAAAAGAAAAACTCCCAAGGGATTTTAAAACAGACCTAATATTGACCTTGGAAGCACTGGAAAAATACTGACTTCGACATGTGGGATGGGAAAACATGATGGAATGGATATCAAAACCTGACTGCATTGTCCAGGCTAAGGGAAATGCCACGCTCTCTGCCAGGCAAGGGGCAGGAGCTCACCCAGGAGTCCTGTGTGAAAGGATCAGGAGCAACCGGAGCACAACTGGTGAGGAGGAACCTCAGAGGATCCTTCGCTCTCCTCCTGCCCCTGTAGCACTCTCTGAACGTGCCGAGCCTCTCGGGCTCGATGCCCCAGGGGGCAGCTCGAGCGGCCTTCACACCACCCTTGTGAGGCAGAAGAGGTGACACAGTGAAGAAGGATTTTGGAGCCATCCTGCCGGCCTTCACCCTAAAACAGGAAGCACCTTCCTTGCTTAATTATTTCCTCACAAGCCATGCAGTCTTTTACCTTATAATGCATTAGCCCAGTAAAAGTCAACTCCTGTAGCTGCTCCCTAAGAGACAAATACACTCTTCACTCYGCCACAGGGACCACAGCTTGAGACTATTGCATGTTTTATCAGTGTAATGGTTATAAACAAGGAAGGCAACCTCAGATTATGTTCTGCCTTCACTCTCCCTTTCAGCATACATTAAACKGCTAAAATTCAGCTTATACACAATTAAACAGAAGAGAAAGCTTTTAAATCCGGATACATACACTAGAAAGAACTTTAAGGAAGGACTCCCCTTTCTTTAATCCCTGCATGCTCCACTCCTGGGAAAACACTTGTTCTCTTAGGGCTTAGGGGTCTCTGAGAACCTTTAGCAGCTCAGTTCCCATTTGCACTGAGCCGTCCCTCCTCTGTTTTACATCTCCCAACACTCTAGTGGGTGTATCATCATATCCCTTGCTATGAGCCTTTYTTTTATTTTCCCCCAACAGCACAAGGGCTTAGGTTGTTTTATGTCACTGAAGCAAGAATCACACAGAAGAACAGACCTGCAGGGCCGCTCATGCAGGTGGCAATGGGTATAAATTAAAAAACAGGAGGTTCCATCTCCATGTGAGGAGGAACTTCTTCMCTGTGAGGGTGCCCGAGCCCTGGCACAGGCTGCCCAGGGAGGCTGTGGAGTCTCCTTCTCTGGAGATCTTCCCAACCCACCTGGATGTCACCCTGTGCCCGGTGCTCTGGGTGTCCCTGCTGGTGCAGGGGTTGGACTAGATGAGCTCTAGGGGTCCCTTCCAACCTCAGCCATCCTGTAGCTCTGTCATTCTCTGWCATGCAACAAATTCCTTGTGGTTGGTCAGAAACAGCTTTGTAAAGGCAGCACAGCAGCCTGAGCTCACAAAATGCTTCACCACTGCAGCAACTGGACATTCCCAGTATAAGGTCAACCTTTGCTGGAAATTTTCCTAAGCACAGCAAGTTCTCCCTTGTTCTAATATTTTGTATGTTTGGTCATCGCCACAAACCAAAGCACACCCTACCAGCACCTGAAACCACAGGGTCCCCAGAACACAGCTACCAAAACCTGCTCTCCTCCAAAGTGAGCTAATTCTGGAGCATGCACTGAAGCTGGGCAAAACCCAACACTGTAACACCTTCAAAGACRAGCACCCCCCAAAGTAAAAGCATCTGACAAGCATTTATAGCCAAATAAGGCAGCTTTTCTATGTGCTTTCTGAATCGCTGACGGGTCATTTGCTCCCACAGATGTTTCTTAGAGCAGGCCTTCCAGCAGGCAGACACTTGTATGAACTCTGCTGATCTCACTTGCTTCAGCACAAGAAAGACTTTAAGCAGCCCACACTGAAAAGTGGTATGTTACAAGAAATTATGATAACGCTTGTCACACCAGGAGCTTCTCCAGGAAAAAGATGGCATGCAAGACTTGTGTTTGCTCACCATCAATACCCTACTGCGAAACTCTGCCCAACCTGCAAGCAGGCAAAGTGCCATCCCAACACATGGGTTTGGATTTCGGCAGCCAACAGACCATCTACAAGCATCAAGTGTGATAGCTAYGGGCAGGAATCCCAGCCCAGTGAGCCCAAACAGCTGTCTCCTCCGAGCTTGCAAGCCTGCAGTTAATAGAATATAAAAATCCCTAATCCCACTCTTAGCTGAGTTAAAAAAAGAAAGCAGGAGTGGAGACAGAAAAGGAGTTTTAAGAGAAAAAAACAAAACCATGATAATTCTTGTTTTTATCTTAAGAACAGCAAGACAGATAATGAAGACAAAAATTTCAAGCAAGTAATCAAGGGATATTTTGGAGCTTCTAGGATTAGTTGATACACCCTGCCACAGTGTTTACAATAGCAAGGACTTTATCATTGCAAGGACATATGCAGGAAACAACCCTGGCCTAGGTCACAGTTGTAAATTAGTGTARCTCTTGTTAAACAGGTGCTCGTTGACTGTTAACCTCTTTAGAGGAAAASCTTAAGAACAATTTAAAATCTGACTTGGTTCAGCACTGGCTGACTTTATACATTACAGTAAGGATGTAAGATTAATCATTTAGAAACAGAATAAAAGACACTCAGGGGYTGGTGACCTATTCAACATACATTGTGCTCAGAAAACAGAAARCTTAATGGAAGCACTCTGAAATAAGAGGCACTATTCAGCTTTCCCTGCATCACATACAGACAAATACAGGGGCATCGTTACCTCTGTGCAGTACTATATGGTCAATCATGTTGCGTTTGTATTTGGTGTGATATAGGCAAAGAGGACAGCGAAGGTCTTTGGGTCCTTCCTCAGGAACTGCTGAGTGCCCAGCTTCCACGTGCATAGTAAAAGCAGATCTGTGAAAGAGGACAGAGACATGGAAGGAGTCAGAAAAGGTGTGCAGGGAACGCTGAAGTGTCACAGCTCTATAAGGGAAGTGTCGTGTAAAATCGTACAGATACCACTCAGCCTTGTCTTCACTGTGCCACATGGCATTTCAGAAGGGCTATTCACATGAGTAACACATGAGCAGAGGTATTTGCAGGCTTGTATCCTCAAGTAACTGACACGCATTCTGACAAGATATTCCTCTGCAGGGGTTGCTGTATAGTCACATTGCTATAGTCAAGATAGCAAAAGAATTTCCATCTTTCATGCTCGTTAACTGTCTTCTATTCTAAAATATTCTGTGTGCTCTATCTGACAAAGCTTTAATTTTTATCAAGTTGAGAAGAATCCTAGCAGCTCTTCTGGACTTGCATAGGCGGAAGACAGACTTACTTCTGAGAACAAAAAACACCCTCAACCACTACTGTCTTTGCAGGATGAGCTCCAAGTAAGCTGAAATGCTCAGATTCAGGATATAAAACAGACTTGTGAATTTGGCAATGAGTAGGTAAAAGTTTTAAAACATCAGTTACATGGATCTGAAAACACAGGACTCACAATACTCCAAGTATCAATGCAGAGGAGAGAATGAACGCTCCATGGTACTTTTGAACAACAAACGTCATGGTGTCATTAGATGAGCTGCATGCTTTTTATAAGTTGCAAGAGGCATGAGTACAGAGGAAATAAACTACACACCTTTCTAACCACAACCTCAACTACTGAAATGAGAGATGTTGTAAACTTAGAGGACTTGGTCATTTTTTCCCTCAAGTAGTGGTAAAGTCTGCAAAAGTTAAGCAGCTTGCTGAACTGAATTAGGAGTTCAAAGTTCCTTTTAAGTTCTTCAAGTCTGTTAGCTTGAATACAAAGCAAACCTACTAACATAACTGCCTTTGGGCCCAATTCAGTTACTGCCAAAGTCTACAGGTGTACTTTTTACCATATTTTGTGAATGCTTTCATGTTTTTAATTTTTTGTGGCAAGTGGAAGAGGGAACTGGTTTGGTTTTTTTTGCCTTATTTTTGAGAGAGAAAAGCACTGTGCTTATCTAGAACAACTTAATCTCCAAATGTTTGAGATACCACATTAGAGAACATAACTCCTTTATATAACTGTGAACATATTTAATTACAGCTTGATTTAAGATGATTTCACTTTATCCTGGCAGGAGAAAGGGCACTACCAAGATGTGGAAAAGATTCAGTGGACCTGGCAATGTCTGGTAATCTTTAAGACAGTAATTAGGATATAAAGCATAAGCAGCCAGTAAGCAAATGAAGCAAAAAACCTACAGATCTGTAATTGCAGGTTGCTYTTTGGTGGATTCTCTCATGTGTAACAGGTTTGTGCTCAACATTTTCTTCAACAGCACACCTCTCCACCCAACCATGCTGCTTATTTTCACAAATCTCTGAAGAATTTAGCAACTTTGAGACCTCAAAAGTTAGCTGAGGAGGTTATGCTCAAGGGTTCAGCATATCAGAACACAAGTGTATGTGCACTTTTTCCTTGGAAAATAGCTAAAAATATGCACATACAAACTTGAAATTTTCAATTCTGCAATATCTAATTGGATTTGCTGAAATGCTTCTATACATTATGAGGTACTTTGGAGAATGCTTTGTATTTTGGCTAGGTAAATAGTGGGGCAAATGCAATTACAAGAGACATTTCTTCAGAGAGTGAATATCACATCTCATCTCTACTTAGAACACTTAGTTGTCCTATATTTCATGCTGTCTGTACCAAGAAATAACCTCATTTTTGGAAAGTAAAGCTTTGAGCATGAGGATGAGCTTCTAACCATTGATACTAAGGAAGAGAGCACTACCTGTACCCTCTCCTCCAGCAAGTACAACCTACTGTGAGGGTTTCATGTGCTTCTGTATGCAGCAGATGGTACCGGCTGTTGTAGGAGAGAGGAAAATGGATTACATGGATGCTGCTGTGATCTGGCATGGCATTTCCTATGTTCCTCTCTCTGGTCAGCAGTGGCCATGTTTCTCTTAGCTACAGCCAGCTCTCAAAGATCTCAGAAGTCCTTTCAAGTGCTAAAATACCCTTTTGAGTTCAGTTTATCTGTTTTGCACAGTACTTACTTAAAGCCTGTATAAAAGGAACAATCTTTGCACTTGAAGAGTTTCTTCCCTCCATGCTTGTCACGGTAATGACGCCGAATGCTCTGGATGTAACCCGAGGAAAATTCACAAAATTCACAGTTAAGAATGGCTTCTGTTTTTTCCATTCCTGCAGCATTCCCAGAAAGTGGTATTGGGCTGATGTTGGTGTTGTTTCTGGCCAAAGCTGCTGACTGGTAGTGGTTCAACTGCTGCTGAACATCAGGAGGCTCCGAATACGAAGAGTCTGCAGAGAAACAGAAAGAGGTGGTTATTGCAGGTAGGTCTCCAAATCCAAAAATGTGCAAGGCCTGCTCCAGTGCCTATCAAAAGTTACCTGGCTTTGATCAAAATGTTGGTTACAAAATCCACAGACAACTTTCTGAAGGTATAAAGAGTAAAAGGTGAAGCATTTCTTTACCTAATCTAATCTGCATTCTACAATTAAAAGGTGATCAGCTGAAATTAGGCTTTTCCAATAAGATTTGGAGATGGAAGAAGTAGTGATAGATTTATAAAGAAGTCTGGTTTTAAGCTCCTTGTAATTTGTGAAGATAAAGCATATTAATCATTCTGCCTTGTGCTCCTACAGAATGCTTGGTGCATAAAGCAAACCAGACCCTCTCAATTTTTTATGCCAATTTATGTCAGATGAAGATTCTCCACATGACACATCTGGGTAACCTATCAAAAAAAAAAAAAAAAAAAAAGAGAGAGAGAGAGAGAGAAAGAAAAATATACTTCTCTGCTCTGAAAATGATGAAATTATGAAATTCAAGAAACCTGCATCAAAAGTTAAGCCTAAGAAAATGATGCAGCTTTATTGTGTCATATTTGAAGCTATCTTCATAACAGGTGAATTCAAGTCCTTCCAGTGGATGAGTTTTAAAATCAAGTTATCACAAAAACGAGGTACTTAATCATAAATTTCTGTAAAGAAGTTTTCAAACTACATCTTCTTATGAAGTTRTTAATTTTTGCCATACAAAGGAAAAGACCTCTTCTTTATATAGGTAGATATAGTACCTAGTACCTAGTAATGTAGATACAGTGTGTGGAGAAACGTAGTCTAAAGACGCCTCAGCAGTGAGACTGCAAACTAGACCAATTTCGCAGGTCCAGAAAGAAGTGGGGGGAGAGGGGGGCCTTGAACCTTTCCCAATGCATAGTTTTGAATGTGGATGTTAGGAATTCATCTGCTTTGTCCTATGTAACCCACAGCTGCCCATGAATGGCACAAATGGAAGCAGATGAATAAAGCACAGATGAATTTCAGTGTAACTTTCCTGAAAAGAAGACAAAAGGCTCTTTTCTTAAGCTTTTTGGAAGAAGGAGAAAGAAAAAAAAAAAGGAGAAGAAAAAAAGAAAAGAAGTAAGCAGGGATACGAACTGTACCAGGCACCTCCTGCTTTGATGAGTACTTCATTTTCCAAAGAATAATTCCCTGAGGCTGGATATGTAGGAATTCTCTAATGCACATACTTGCAGGAACTTAATACCATCCATTCTTACCAATTAGTAAAGAGAAACAAAAGGCAAACAGGCCCATACAGCACTCAGTTTGGGGACTTCTCCACCTGTCTTCAAAAGAGTGAAATGCTTGCTTTTTCTTTCCCACTGCCACAAAGGGACTTATACATGCCTGAGAAACAAAAAAAAAA